GTGCGCGCCTCGCCGTGGCGGCCGGATCCGTCCGGCAGGCGGCGCGGGCTGCGGGCGGCGTGGGCGGCGGCTGGGGTCCGGCTTCGGGCCCCCGACGGCTGCGTTGGTTCCTCTCCGTCGCGGGCGTGCGGTGGTGGTGTGGCTCGGCCGGTGGCGGTCCGGCGACCTGGTGGTGGTGGCCGGCGGTGCGCGTGGAGGTGGTGCTTCCACTTGGCGGCTCTCTGTGCGGGGAGGCAGGGGAGCGGCTTGGACAGGGGCAGCGGCGTCGACGGCATGCCGGCTGCAGCGCGAAGGCGGGAACTTTACGGGCCTCGGAGATCCCGGCCGGGCCTGTGCGGCCACGGGCCTGGTATGTTCCTGCTATTGCGTCAGGTCAGCTACCGTCTTCGACGGTGGAGGTGGGGCCCTCCCGCGTGCCGACGGTGTTGTTGCCCTAGTCCCAGCTCCTCTCCCTCTTTGTGCGGACCATGCTTCACGGTGCCGTGGTGAGACGGCGTGGGAAGCTTTGTGACCGGGTTGGCGCAGGGTGAGGGTCTGTTTGGTGGCAAGCTCTGAAGTGCCAGAGGTGGAGGTTGGGATCGGGAGAAATCCCTGTTGGCTTGGCCGACACCGACGCGGTGGCGCTTGTGGGTACCGCCTGACCTTCCTGAAGGGCGTCGGGGCTACCCTTCCTCTCTCCTCATAGTGTATCGGGGGAAACCCTTAGCAGCAGCGTCGTCATCGTCGTGTCCCTTCTTGAAGGTGTTGATTGGTACCGGTGCTTCGGAGGCTCGGAGCTTGGTGGGCGATCTCCGGTGGGTGCAGCGGCCTCGAGGCTTCTTCGTTTTTTGTCGATCCGCCGTTGTTGGCATTAGTTTCTCTTGTATTTTCTCTTTCTTTCTTTTGGGCGTGACTGTGCTGCTTCCGCCCCAGCACCTATCGTTGGATGTTCGGTTGGTTGCTTTGTATACAAAGCGGGGGGAAACCTTTTTTCGGTTTGTAGGTGATCTACGGTCCACGATATTCTACCACCAGTACTGGGGTGATCCAAATGAGCAAGCAGTGTACATTGTTGAGCTACATGGCAAGATCATGATAGCGGCGAGGAGGACGGAGTGGTCACACCCGCGCAACACTTATGTGTCTTTTTTTTCAGTATTCGAGCTAGTTGTTGAGGACTATGGTTCACTGGACAAGTTGACCAGGTGGAAGCGTTTGAAGAGTCTAGGCGACCATACCCTTTTCTTGGGCTCGACGTTCTCTAAGGCAATGCAGATGTCAACTGATGAGAACGGCTACCTGCAAAGAAACCACATCTACTACTCCCATCACCGATGCCACCCACGAAAAAAATCAGTGCCCGGCGACGCCGAGGAGTTCTTTACAGCCTCAAATAGCGATGGTCGTCATGTGTACTACAAGACACACTACAAGGAAGATGAAAGCGTTCACAAGAACGTGGACGGGATCACGACGGTGGGGCACTATGTGATGGGCGCTGATAAATATCCCCCCGTGTGGCTTTTCCCTCCAGATCTTTAGCCAATTTTGTTTTGGTACCACTGCTCCTATTTTCTCCTCATGTGCTTTTTTGTTTCTTCATAAAACAATTGATGACTCGAGCACTCTATCCCGTGAGGAGTATGTTGCTGGCACCGGACATCCAACGGTTTTAGATTCCCACTTTATGCAATGCTTCAAACCCCTTCATATTATCCAGCTCGTATGGGTGTTTGGTCGATCTTATATAATTTTTATCACGCGCAAAAAGAAAAGGTCGAGATTTATATGTTTCTAACATCGAGAAATGTGGTATAACTTTTGTTTTTAGAGAGATTATGTTGATTAGTCGTTTCTTTAGATTATCTCCTTTTCAATTATTGACCTTTGGTGACTTTATTAAATAATGATCAGGTCCTTTACAATGAATGGGACTAAGAAATCAAGAGTTTGTCTCACCACATGATTCACAGTCCTCCTAAGAAGCTAAAACGAGCAATATGATGTGTTGATACATTCGCTTACCGCATGCAATGATCTGTTGTCGTGTTGCCGAAAGTCATCATGAGCTCACCACGCTCATCCGGCAGAACTGCACCTGAAGCTCTATATTCCAAAGGATTTAGAACAACTTGTACAATCTCAAGTGAGTCGCTTTCAATCGTCATGGAGAATCAATATTGCCAGGTTGGCTGCTAGACGGAGGCCCATCAGTAGTGTAGCTGCCTCCTTGGACGACGCATCCAATGCAATGCCCCTGAAACTTGCTGGTGCCATGATATTAAAGTATCACTAGAGTCTCACAAGGTAGCTCCTAGAGCCCCAGTTTCCGAGTTTATGTCGAACGGTGCGTCTGTTGGAAATATGCCTCCGTCCTCGAGGCCAGACCTTGGCCGACGGCATCGCGTCTGCACTCGTGCCATCCCGCACGTGGCGGGCAAGACTACTGAGGTAGTAAGATCAGCGGCACCGAACCGCCGTCGCTTCACCTTGAGGCTTCGGTCGCCAACCAGCGAGACCGCGTCCGCCATCGCTGTTTCCCGCATGCATGTTGCCAGCGACATTGTATCCTGTGTTTTGAATTTCGGCCGAGAAAAACGGATTTCGGCCGAATTTTGGCCATCTCGGCCTGAGGCGAAATCTATCTTTCACCGAAACTGATCAAACTTGGTAAATTTTGGTCAAATTTTAGTCAAACTTTAGTCAAATTTTGGTCAAATTCCGGCCGAAATTTTTGAAAATGACCGAAATTCTGCCATCTCGGCCAGGGGCGAAAAAAATCTCATACCGAAAATCAAAACGCTGATTGTATCTAGTGCAATCCCACCACTTTCTGCTGCACCCACAACCGCCAGCTCCGTTGATTACCGCTATGATGGTATGTTGTGGGATCCCCACTTCCACGTTACCAGATCTCCATGTCGGCGACGGTGCCACCCCTTCACTCACATTCTCGCGGCGATGACAGGCATTGGTGCGCCGGTCGTCTCAACCAGAAAATGTTTTGTACTCAGATTGCTGCAGATTGTCCTTCCCCACTCAATGTTTGTACTTAGTTCAGGAACCTGCTGTGATGCAGATTAAGCTATTAATTTGTTGCTGATTCTTTCTCCCAGGTGCACGAGACTGGTTCTAGTGTATTGGTTCAACGAGTTCCTTGAGGCTGGTTTTGAGTTTTTGGTTTAGAAATTCTTCAGCTGATGATCCCCAATGGCTACTGGTCATGTTAGTTCAAGTGGAATGACATATCTTATCCAATAACCAAGTGTACCTTAATACAATTGCCTAGTTTCCATGATTATGTCTTCGCAATAACTCATGACATGCTACGGTTGGCAATAATTGTTGTTGTATATGCACCAGGTAGTTTAGGAGGATAGATCCATTTTCCATATGCAAAACAGAAGCATAATTTTGGTGTATCTCTTCCCAAACACATAATTCGTCTCCAATCTGATCAGATGATGTATCTACTGTTTGTACAGATCCTACAAAGAAGAAAGGATTATTGAACGTTTGCTACTTCCAGTGCATGCTTCATTGTGGGCATTTTGTTAGCAACTTGGATAATTTCTAGAAATCTAAATTCACTATGATGTTAATAAATTTCTTTGCGTATGAGTGCAGAAATGTATTTTACTCGAGGTTCCAGAAATCAAATTTACCATTCCATCACGCGAGAACGAATACATATTCAGGATAGTCCAATATTAATACAACAATGCAGCACCTTCTCCAGTGGTTGATAGATAGCTCGAACCATCGCGCCACCAATGCTACTTATGCTACCTATCCAGAATTGATAAGGCAGGCCAGGCAATTAGCTTTCAATCTGTACCTGCTACATTTTGGATTAGCCTCTGTATATAAATTTACATGACACTCGAATGTAAAAAGATCACAATAGTATGGATAATAAGGGTGTCTTGTTGCCAGGTAAGATCTGTTAAGAATTTTGTTCTTGGTCGCTTCCTTGGGTTTTCTATGGTACTACAAAGCTTTCATCCAAGTCAATGCTCATGAAGGTGAAATTAGAACTGTCTTGCTCCATGTTAGTTTTATCCTACTTGTGCCCCATTGCACACCGATGAATAGTGAGCCATGTGATTGGACGCCAAAGGTAATCTCTACTATTAAAGGAGAATCGAACGTCGTGATGGTTTGACCTCGATCCCCGCCCTCCCCTTCGCACGATCGCAGGCAGTAGTAAAAAAAAAGTACCCTCGCGACCTGGTTCCACCTCCCCTCGCAGCCTTCCAAATAAAAAAAAACAAGACCCACGTCCCGTCTCCCAGTCTCCCCCACCTCTCTCTCCCGATCCATCCTCTCTCTCGATCTCGCGAGAAAAATCGCCACCTCGCCTCCGCCACTGCAACAACCGTCGCTTCCATAGACTACGTCGACAGCGTCTTAGGAGGTTGACCCCTGCGGGGAAGTTGGCGGGAGCTCGTGGCCGACCAGATCCAGTGCAGCGCCGCCGATGTCTGGGTGGAAGATGAGCGCGAGCTTCCGGGGTCAGCATACCGCCGAGGAGGAGGGCAGACGGATGAGAGGGAAGCTCTCCAAGGAGGAAGCCGACCAGCTTGTCACCAGGGGAAGCCGACCAGCATATATATAGGCATGGTTGTCGTTCACAGAGATCGTTAGTTTTGATTTATTTTTTTCTGATTGGTTTTTGCCCCATAGCGTCTCCTTCTTCTGCTAATAGCTAGCCATGGTCTCGATCTATTGGTGGTTCGTGATGGATGACTATCCTTTGTTTTTCTTGATTGGATTTGGTGTAGGGGTGGACTATCTTTGAGATCCTGCGGTACATGTCGGAGCATAACTGGTCGGTGTATGAGGAGGCCCTCAAGGCCAATCCGGTTCTTGGCAAGATGATGATCATCGGCGTCGTCTACTCCCTCGGCGACTGGATAGCCCAGCCCAGGTGCCAATCCAATCCAATTCCCCTCGCTGACTGACTGTTTTACTTTTACATCCCCTTTCTGCTGCTGCAATAGCTAATACGGTTCATTCTTGTTTGTGTTGTTCCTGCTTGTTTTATTTGTTGATGTTTACAGTAGAAACTGAATTAATAGGAGCGATCTTGCTCTACCTTTTGGTATTGCTGTACGCAATGAAGCTGACAGGAGCATGGCCGTCCTCCTGCTATTGGAAATTTTGCTGATTCATGTCATGATTAGCCAGATTTTTCGTTGCATATAGTTCAGTAAAACGATGGATTTGAACCAGCGCACTATGGATCGCTGATGAAGTTCAAGAAACTACAAATAGAAAATGATTAGTACAAAATGAGGCCCGAGCTGTCCTGCTAATGTGCAGGCCGGCTAATAATTAATCGTGCACTTGAAGTAGCATGTTCTTCCGACATATATATCTACATGTCCATGTCTTCTTTTATAATCAACTAATTAGTGTACCTACTACTCTAGCACTTCCAAGCAAAATAACAATGATAAGGACAGGTGCTCTGCTAGCTAAACTGAAGTAAAATAAGATAAAGATTGATGCCTCATGTGCAATCAACAAAAGTGACAAAGTATTATCTTTTAAAAATTATATAAGCCTGAGTTGTTGTGACAACCAAACATTGTACATTACCAAGATATTTTTTACTAAACCAAACTGAAATTAAGAAATAGAGTAAGGTGCTAATACTTCCATTGCACAAATCTGTAGGTTTGCTCATTAATTACATGCACTGATGATGTTTGTGGTACCAGGGTGCTCGAGCGCGACGACACGCCTATTGAGTTCCTAGCGCTCGCGAACGCCGGAATTGGACGCGCCCATGCATGCATTTTAGATCCAAGGACGGCATCGTGAACGTACGCACTCAGTTGCTCCTCAGCAGCAGTTGATCCACCTGGGGTTCTACTTGAGTTCCTCCGTCCCCTGGCAGCGAGGCAGCAGGTCCCCGTCCCCCCTCTCCGTCTCCGGCATGTTGATCCCGGTGGCGTCACAGCGGTGGCATGTGTGGTGTCATGTCATAATAAGGTAGCATCTGTTCTTTCCCCACCCTAATTTTTGTGGTCAGCGTCCGGAGCCCAACCTACCAATCGTTATCCCCAAACCTCACTGACTTCTTATGTGGGTGCTCTTTCTTCCCCCTCTCTCGTTTCACTTGACGCTGATAGCTGATTGCTAGAATCCTCGGTTGTGCTCTTGTCTTCTAAATTTGGCATGGTATGCATTTTCTTGAGATGAGGGTATGGGATGGAGGTGGCAATAATTTCGAGGTTGTGGTTTATTGGGCTTATAATTTCGACATGATTAATGATATGAACCGTATGTTCTGTTTTCCACAATATTGGTTTTTTCTATGCAATATGAGGCTATGTTTCAAGTTATTATTATCTATTGCCTTGCATTCGATGGCTGTACAGTAACATGCTCTCTGAGAAAAGGTTATGTTTCATGTTATTATTATCTATTGCCTTGCATTCGATGGCAAATTGACAACCGATGTCATATCTTTGCCCACTCATGATGCCGATAAATAGTTCAAAAAAATTAGAAAGACATATATATTTCACTGTGCTAGCTACGTATGTTTATAATGGTTTATTTTCACCAAAATTTTGCTGCACTTTGACAGTAGACTATGTGATAATTTGTAACAGAGTTCAGAGAAACTGGGCAACACACAGTTCCAAAAGTGTGCACTACACATGGAAGAAAACACTGTAGTATTAGCTGTTGTAATCTACGAAATTTTGTACTGCGTGAGTGAGGTTAAGAATGGCTAACTGATTGAACTTGTTCACAACATTAACAGTAATCATGATGAACTTAGTATTCCTGACTTTCTATTTCATGTTGTTTTCTACTGTAGACCTATTTGCAGGTTTTTACAGAGGAATTAGTTTAGGTGTTACTGGTTCACTTGCTACATCTGAAACATATTTTGTTGTTATTGTTACTGAATCAACTAAGACATGGCTGGAGCACACTAATCCTAATCTAAGAGGCCATTTCTCTCACTTATTTGCTGGAGGAGTTAAGAGAGAAAATATTTTTATGACTATTGTGTTTTCTTTCCAGAAAATCTGCATGACGCGGCGTAAAATTTATACTGGTTCTCAGCATGTTACTAGGATCTAGCCGCACAAATGGATTTTTGTATGTCCTGCATGCATTGTTGAGGAAATTGTTAACTGGTAGTTGTTCGGTTGGCTGGTGAGTAGGGGATTAATCGGCTAATCGGCAAGTTAATCGGCCATTTAATCAACTAATCGGACGATTTATCGGTTTATAGGCTACTCGGTGACCCTACGAGTAGGGATTAATCGGCAAGTTAACTGGTTAATCGGATGAATTCTTGAACAGGGCCTGCATGGAGTTCTCAAAAAGTTATTCCTTGTCATTTTGTAGTGCCACCAATACATTGGGTCTTTGTATATTAAAACCTTTCTGGTCTCTGTTTTGGCTCATGTAATACTTACCGATATGATTTACTTGTTCATCAGAATAATGTGTTGATTCCTTGACACATCATAAGCTTTTTTTCAAGCTCATTCCAGGAGATACACTTGCATCTTTTATCTATGTGATGTGCCTTGTGAAGTTCTGAAACAAGGAATGCATGACCAAGGCTCCAACAAATCATCAGCACTAAATGCTACAGAAGGAAATGATCTATGCCATCTGTTTTATCTAGAGAGATCATGGTGTGAAGGGACTCAATATAGGGTACTGGTACTGAGTGCTTGTTCCTATAACATATTTCTTCTGTTTTCTTATAGAGAAATAAATGAGTTCTTTCGGCCCAACAAAAGAAAACATATAGTATCTTCAAGGAAGCAGCATTTTGAGTCAACAAATTTTTCCCCCCATGCCAAAATGGAATCCATGGTAGTCTAGCATACTCGAATACCGTGATACAAGTAGGAGTATCAAATACAAGAAATTTCTTTTTTATGCGCACATTCTTGGAAGCATGAGTGTATGTTCATGGAGAAAACATGGTCAATTTTTGTGTAAAATACTGATAATGTTCAATACATGTTTATTATGGGCAGCCAGACTTCTGTTTGCTCTGCTAGACAAAACCTGGTAACAATGGGTTGGAAAATGGACAAACAGGAAAAGAGAACTGAGAAGAAGTGCCAAGTGGTCTGCTTGGAGTTAGGGGAATTCAAAGTGCATTTGTGGTTATTGTTTCTGCATTATGCTTGTATTCACAAATTGTTCGGCAAAAATGGAAGCAACTGTGTAATGGTCAAAGCATATCATCAAGGACAAATAGCTAATCAGAATTACTTCTGTTTTTATTTGCATATGATGCCAATAGCTTTACTTGAAACACATCTTGAAGTTGAAGTGACATCTTGTTGTTTTGGGGTATTATGTGACTATTTTTTGTACAATGTGAAAGAAACTTAAATTACATGAGGCGAATGTATGTATAGGGGAAGCAAGTGTAAGGTGATGTTTTTGAAATGCGGTGATAATTGCATGGCACTGATTCTTGAAGTTACAATGATGTTTTAATCAATGTCTCAATATACATGTTTGTTGAGCCTATAACTCTTCATAAAATAATTGAAATTAATGCAGCTTGTGCAAAAATAATAGGTTGGTCATGTTTCTACATATTTATATTTGCATTTCGTTCACTGGTGATTATTATTTTTGTACAGAATGCATATCTCATTATTATTAATGTTGAAATGGTAACGAAGATTCAGATATGCATACATGATTTTCCGGATGATTTTTTGTAGCCTGCACCAGGAGTGCCCAAGAGCAAATAGGTTGGGGTAAAAGATACTATTTGTTTGACCACACTCATAACCTGCATGTGACATACATGATGTAACTTAGTGATAATTTGACAAATGTCTCTTTGTGTAAGTTTGTTATATATCCCGTGGCAACGCACGGGCATTCGACTAGTACAACTAATACTTTAATTACACTAAATTTTGATCGGAGATTGTAAGAATAAAATTTATAAAACATTGATTGTTCTTTTAATTTCTCACCTTCACGAGGCTCCATTGTCTTAGATATAACTTCAGATAATAACATTGGTGGATAATGTGAAGTTTGAGCAGAAGATGACCATTCATTTTCATTTATGTACCGGAAAGGGTTACAACACTATTCCTTTAGTTCGACAACACAGCTTTTCGCTCAAGGTTGCTTTCCAATGGATGATTCTCCAGATATAAAGTAGCTATTGATTTCAATATTTGAATTTAATATTCTCTGTGAAAGGAATAAAAACAAAATACTTTGTTATTTAATTAAGTTGAAGTAATGTCAATGATTATGTGAATACTTTGGAGTATTTGACAAAGAACTACCACATTAGGGATTGCCGTCCCACTGAACTACCACATTTAAAAAAGTGGTTGATAACTACCGAAAATTTCAAATTTTGTGACTAAAAGCTACCACTTTTGAAAAATGACCGGTTTAGACGATTTAAACGCGTTTATGACATGCAGGACCCACCCGTCAGAGCTAACGTGGCGACGAAGTCAACTCCGTTTATTTTGACCGCTAAGTTGACCGTTATTACAGGTGGGGCCCACCTGTCAACATCAATCTTCTTCTTCCTCCTCCACTCTCTCTCTCTGGCATTTCCTCGAACACATCATGTGCACTCGGCGCTCTTCTTCATGGCGACGCCCTGGCGCAACACCCCTCCGGCGCTGGTCGGGACTGGAGACGGCAGCGCAACCACGCCGGCTGGAGCCGCCTCGGCCGCGGTGGGCTCCTTGACTAGCTCGTCCGTGGCCGCAAGCGTGCAACGCGTTGCGCTGGCTTGCATGCTAGCCTTAGCCTCGTGTGCACTGCTAGCTTGTGGGCATGCTGGCCGCGGCCTTGCGTGCGTGCGCAGCCGCAGCCACCGCCGCGTGCTGGCGTGTTCGGAGCCGTGCGCGCAGCCGCCGCCGCGTGCTGGCAGGCTGGCCGCCGTCGCCACGAGCGTGCGTGTCAGGAGCCGCCGCCGCGTGCTGGCCGGCTAGCTGGCCGCCGTCGCTGTGAGCGTGCGTGTGCGGAGTTGTTGTCGAGGAGCTGCGTCAGGTGGTGGCGCCGACGGCCTGGGAGGAATTTCCGGCAGCTTCGGCGGCCGCTCCCACAGCTCCAACCGTCATGGTTGCGCCACCGTTCCAGTCCCAAACCAACACCAGGGAGGTGCTGGGCGGGGCCTCGCCATGGAGGAGTTCGGAGCACAAGCGCGGGTGCACACGAGGTGTTCGAGGAAATGCCAAAGAGAGGAGAGGAGGAGGAGGAAGAAGAAGATTGATGCTGGCAGGTGCGCCCCACCTGTAATAACGGTCAAAATAAACGGGGTTGAATTTGACGCCACGTCAGCTCTGACGGGTGGGTCCCGCCTGTTATAAACGCGTTTAAATCGTCTAAACCAGTCATTTTTTAAAAGTGGTAGTTTTTAGTCACAAAATTTGGAATTTTTGGTAGTTATCAGTCATTTTTTTGAATGTGGTAGTTCAGTGAGACGGCAACCCCTAATATGATAGTTTTTTTGCCAAATACTCAATACTTTGTTATTTAGCCTGACAACCGCTCACGGGAGCTGCAACGGTAATGGTGGCCGATGGTGGCAGGAGATGCGGCCGTCTCGACAGGCAGGGGCGGAGACAGGGGGGTGCGAGCAGGGGCTAGACACCCCCCATCGATGAGCCCCCCCTAAAGATACAGCGCATATAGTGTATGTAGCAGTATATATACAAGCGCTAATTACCGTGTAGTAATAAGGCCCAAAATCAATTCTTATTTGTGCTCTCTACGTGCCGAAGCCCAAAACAGCCCATGCCCCACGTTTTTAGCCATTTAGCGATCAACTGCATCACGCC